CTGTACGTAGGAATACCCCCAGAACGGTTATCTTCGACTAGCAAACAAAAAAGGACACCACCTCACTTACGGCCGTCCATGTTGCGCTACGGCCCCTTGGGCGCCGTGGCGTGTACCACGCAGACACCCACTCCAGATTTCCTGGTACACGCTGAGCCCCGTGGGGCCGTCGGTGGGGTGTTGCTGTTTGTTTTCTGGTGCATACAGTCAACGTTCGGTAGCAAATCGTGGGAGCCTGGTGTGCCCTTTCAATTCCGTCGTTAACGTCGATTAGCGTCGACTAGCGTCTGCGAGTCGATAACACAGCGCCGATATGGCGCCGACATTGCGTCGATGAGCGCCGACTCAGCGCCGATGTAGCGTCGATTGAGCGTCGAGTCGTGCCGACTCGCAAGAGCCGACAGGTGTTGGTATGGGAGGCTCCCACGAGTTGCCACCGAGGAGCCGACGCGCACAGCAGGGGCGCGCGCCTCGTCCCCGCCTCTACGGCCCGTCCTCGGCCGCTTCTACAGGGGGCCTGGGCCGCGCGCCGTCCGGGGCGCGCCAGCCTCGGCGCGGCCTTGCGCGCCCTGCCGCCCGTCCCCGCCCCCGGACCTCCCGACGTCGGGACTTTTCCGCGACGTCGGCCCATCTCGGACGTCTTGGAGGCCTCTTGGGCCGTCTTGGGGCCCTCTTGGGGCCGTCTTGGGGCCCTCCTGGGGCGATCTTTGGGGGCTCTTGGGCCTCGGCCCCCTCACCGAGGCGGCTTCTTCCTCCCGAGCCCTTTCCGGAAGGTCCCGGGGGCCCGGCAGGGGCCCCCCGGAGGCCGCAGACAGTGGAAGCACCTCCCGTCTCGGCGTCGTTTTCACAGCGCGAGGGGCGTCTGGGATACAGCCGAGCCGCACGCCAAGGGTGGGCAGCCTTCCAAAAGGCTGCCCTCGCATCCTGGCCTCCTCGGTCCATCGTCGGCCGCTTGCCGTTGGCCGCGCCCCGCTCGCACAGTGTGGGCATGGCCCCCCAAGGCCCCTGCATCCTATCATCGTGCGCCCTTGCGATACGAGTTAACTGTGCACGCTTAGCTAGATTGTATCCGGCATGCCAGTTGCTCTCGCGCGCCTGGGCGCAGTCTCAGTCTCCTCTCCTGCCCGCTGGGCAATTCGCTCTTTGGCAGCCCCGTTTAGCGTTTAGCCCATTCATGGTTTGGCCGATCGGCGCGGGCCCTCGCAACCCTCGCAACCCTCCCCCCCCTCATGAAGCAGGTCTTGGCTGCTGTTTGGCGCCTGTCTCGAGCGGGTGGGGCCCCTCCCCCATGGGACACACTGCTGCAAACCGTCGCCTGAAGCAGAGGTCCGGAGCCAGACCCCCCCCCTTCCCCCCCGTTCCGCCCAATGTCGAGACGCCGAAGAAGAAGAAGACGCTCACACGATCGTGCGCCCCCACGACACGAGGGGACTGTGCACGCCTGGACTGCGCGCGCCGGGGGCCGCTGTCTCCGTCTCCTCGCCCTGCCCGCAGGGCACATCGCTCTTCGGCAGCCCCGTTCCGCCCGACCGCCGGTGTGGCCGTTCTGCCTCGCCGCCGGCGAGCATCGAAGAAGAAGCAACGGCACACACATAAATGTTGGGCGCTTCGCGCGGATGTCTTGGCTCTGCGCCGGGCCCCCCCGGCGGCGCCTCGAGGCGCAGCCCCCGGCGCGCTCCGCGCGCCAGGGGAGGGGTCCAGCGCAGATCCCGGACATCCGCGCGGGCGCGCCGGAAGCTTCTGCTCCTGCCGTTTCTTCCTCCCTCTGGGTGCCGCAGCTCCGCCTCGCCGCCGGCGAGAAAAAGGGGGCCTCCCGGAGGACCGCCCGCGCGCCGGGCCCGCGCGGCTCGCCGCAGGGGGTGGTGCAGCTCGCCTGCCAGCTGGCGGCGTGGCTGCCGCCGGCGGAGGTCGCCCGCCTGGCCGCCGGCAGCGCGGCGCTCGCGGCCGCGCGCGAGGAGCCGCCGCGGAGCAGGCCCAGACGCCCAAATCCCTCCTCCTCCTCCTCCTCCTCCTCCTCCTCCGCCCTCCTCCTCCTCCTCCTCCTCCTCCTCCTCCTCCTCCTCCTCCGCCCTCCTCCTCCTCCTCCTCCTCCTCCTCCTCCTCCTCCTCCTCCCTCCTCCTCCTCCTCCTCCTCCTCCTCCCTCCCTCCTCCTCCTCCGTCCTCCCCCTCCTCCTCCTCCCCTCCTCCTCCTCCTCCCTCCTCCTCCTCTTCTTCCTCCTCCTCCTCCTCCTCCTCCTCCTCCTCTCCTCCTCCTCCTCCCCTTCCTCCCCCTCCTCCCCCTCCTCCCCCTCCTCCTTCATCTCCTCCTCCTCCCGGGGGGGTCGCTGTTCCCAGGCTCGAACCCAGGCCCCCGCGCGTTGTGAACAAACCACGACGCGAAGTTTTTCTCCATTTTCGGCCTCCAGGGTCCCTCTCCGGGCCTCGGGACAGTCAAAGAACGACTCAGGATCAGAAACCTGTCCTGGGGGAGGGGTCGATACCATCTGGGGGTCGACGCCGTGAGAAACATCACGACGTCGGAGGTCTGGGGAACCCAGACACCCTCCCCTGAGATCCCGGCGTCTCAATGTGTGTTCGTTTTCTTATTCATTGTTTTGCCGATCGGCGCGGGCCCTCGCACCCACCCCCTCCTCCCCCCCCATGGAGTAGATCTTGGCTGTTTTTGGCGCCTTTTTCGAGCTGGTGGAGACTCCCCCACAGGACGCAATGCTGCAAACCGCCGCACTATGCAGAGGTCTGGAGCCAGACCGCCACCCCCTCCGCCCAATGTCGAAACGCCGAATAAGAAAACGCTTTCTTTTTTCGAGCAGGGCGCTTTCGTCAGGTTTCGGGCCCTGGGACCCTTGCACGTCGATCTGGCTCCAACATTGGCGCAGAAAGATGGGGTCCAGGGCTCCAGTCGTGACGTTCAACGATGTCTTGTCTTGTCTAATTTTTTCGCGCCTTCGGAACTCAGGGAACATCGTGGCGGAAGGATTTTAGCAGTGTTCGGCCTGCGGGGACCCGAGCCTGGCTCCAGGACCGTCAACATCGGCTCGGGATGCGGAAGCCGGGCGCCAGGGAGGGGTCTAGTCCTTTCGAGGTCCGCCTGGAAAAATCATGACGTCGGGGGCCTGGGAACGGGTCCTGAGGGGAACCTGCTCTCACCGTTGGCGTGCTCCTGGGGTCCTCCCTGGCCCCCAGGGGGGTCCCAATAACGGCTCAAAGGATGAAGAGCTGGTCTCGGGGGGAAGGCCCCAGGGTCCAGGGCTGGGTTGGCGGAGGGAGGGGTCCCAGACACCCGACGATGAGTCTCTCTTCATTCGTGCGCGGCCCCCAGGAGGTCCCGGCCCCTTCCTGGGTGTCGTTTGTCATGCTGGGTCCATGCCCGAAAACGAGCTCCAGAGGCCAAGATCGAGGCAGAACGCCAGGCTTAAGTCGGGCGTGTCCCTCTAGAGGGGGAACAACCAAACATACTTAAAATATAGTCGGGGGACGATTTTTCGACTATCGTGACTACGTTTGAGCATGTTTTTTTTTTGACTTTTTAAAATGTTTCGCCCCCAGAACATATACGCCTGTAGGAGGACATGCCCGACCAAACGCCAGGCTTGACAACAAACGCAGGTCGTCGGAGATAAGGGCCGATCTCCTTGACGCTGCCGCTCAGCGCTCGAACTAAAACAGTGTTTCGGTTTATGATGCTCCAACCTGCTTTAGCCTTGACCACCAGAAAGAATTCCCAGCACCAGGAACATTCCGAAGCTTGCGAGTTTTCACGTGTCAGGCCCTGGGAGGCGATACTCGTTCGACATTGTTTCGATACTTTTTCGGGGCGCTCGATGGGATGTGGTCCTTGAGCACGATGGGAGCAACATACGCTTATTTCGTGGACACCTATTTCGTGGACACTTATTGAGCACTACTTCGTGGACACTATTTCGTGGACGCTTCTTTCTGGGATGTGGACACTTACTTCGTGGACACTTCTTCCTGAGGGCACTATTTCGTGGACACTTTCGATAGAGCACTATATCTCGTGGACGCTTTCGATCGAGCACTATCTCGTGGACGCTTCTTTCTGGGATGTGGCCCTCGAGCACGATGGGGGCAGCATGCGCTCCGGCGAGTCTCCGTGGGCCGCCTGTGCTTGGGCTTCGCGGCGCGGCCCGGGGCGGCGCGCCGTCGGGCCTGTCCCTCTACGGGAGGAGTGCTCAACAATGGTAGATCAGTGGTCCGCGGACGTTTTTTTTGTTGATGTTTCTTCTTCTTTGTTTTGTTCTTTCTTTTTTTAATTTATAATTTCATTATTCTATATATATGTGTTGCTTATTTGGGGACTATGTTTGGCTAATGTGTATCATCCTTCGTTCAAGATCCCCCTGTAGGGGGACACGCCCGGCTTCAGAGCAGATCTCGGCTGTTCTTGTCTCCCGTTTCGAGCGGGTGGAGCCTCCCCCACGATTTCTGGACGCGCTGCTGCAGACAGCCGCACTACAAGCAGAGGTCTGGAGCCAGATCCCCCTTTCCGTGCCCCCCCTTCCGCCCAATGTTCGAGTAGGGGATCGGCTACATAATTGATTTACCCCAGAGTTGATTTTCCCCCGTCGAATCTACGACGAAGGCGAAGGTTTTCGGACATCTACTGCGAGTTCTAAGTATTTATGATCCGTAGTCGACGAGAACATTGATTTGGGGGTAAAACACTTATGTAGCCTACTCGAAATGTCGAAACGCCGAGTATGAGAACGTCCTCCTCCTCCTGTTCCTCCTCCTCCTTCTCCTCCTCCTCCTCTTCCTCCTCCTCCTCCGTCTCCCCCTCCTCCTCCTCCTCCTCCTCCTCCTCTTCCTCCTCCTCCCCCTCCTCCTCCTGTTCCTCCTCCTCCTCTTCCTCCTCCTCCTTCTCTTCCCGCTCCTCCCCCTCCTCCGCCTCCCGCTCCTCCGCCTCCTCCTCCCCCTCCTCCTCCCCCTCCTCCTCCCCCTCCTCCTCCCCCTCCCCCTTTTCCCCCTCCTCCTCCTCCGAGGAGATGGCCGCGTGGGCCGCGCGCGAGGCCGCGGGGCCGCGCTTCGACCTGCACTTCGGCCTGCGCGCCCCGGCGGCGGACGGGCGGGGGGCCGGGCTGCGCGTGCTGCGGCTCCTCGGGGGCGCCCGCAGATCTTTGGGCTCGGGGCGGGCAGGCTATTGTTCTCCCCCAATCCCCGAGTTCTGCCGGAAAAGTTTGGCCGCTCAGAAAAGGCGGGGAATCTTGGGATACACCCCGAGGGGGCTATTCGGACGTACCCCTATCGAGGATGGACGCCCCCCCTCGTATATCCCAGGGTTGGGCCCCAAATTTTTTATCCTCTCGAAAACCTCACGAAACCTGGGATAGGGGTCGGCGCATCCCCTGTTAAGGGCGGGCATGTTCCTCTGCGGGGGGAGTATTCTAAAGTAGTACGAACATGTTCTTGGGACGTTTTGCTGTGTTCTGTTTGTTTTGTTCCCACCATGTCTGAGTACGTTTGGATTTGCGTTCTGGATGTTCATGGTTTTCCCAGCATCCGCCTGTAGGGGGACATGCCCGACCGAACTGCAGGCCTCCCAGATGGGGTCGGAGCGGATGGGGTCGGAGGATCGCGCCGCATCGCCGATGGATCGCCGATGCATCGGCTATGCGTCTCGATGTGGAGCCCGATCTTCTCCACGCCAGTGTCGCCGATGCATCGCCGACGTCGTCGATGCATTGCCAATGCATCGCCGATGCATCGCCGATACGGCGTAATCCTCCGACCTCATTCGGACCCCATGTAGGAGGCCTCTGAGATCGGAGGAGGAAACGGTACCCATACCGCTACACTTCCCTTGTTCATCCCTCTGTGAGCCTCCTGGGAGGCCCTCGTCGCCACGGATGGATTCGCCTCGAGATTTTGGGCAGAACGCACCCCACGAGAGGTCTGGGGAGTGTCGGTACCAGCTCCTTTTGGTTTCCTCAGGGAGGGCGTTCTCCGCAGAGGGCACCCACGGGAGTCTGGACTCTGCGCTCTCCACGCCTTCCCGGCCCAGCGTGGCTTGAAAAGGGGGGACGAGGAATGCCGAGCAAGCGAACTTCCCTGACTCGACAGCCGTGCTCGGCCGTGCAAAGGGCTTGAAAAGGGGGGACGAGGAATCAGCTCACGTAGCTGATTTTCCCGGCGCCTCCAGGCGCCGGGAGGCGCCCATGCATCGAAGAGTGAGCCCGGCGGCGGGGCCGAAACCAGCTGCATGCAGCAGATTTCGTAACCCCCTTTTCTCCCTATCCCCCCCTTTTCGTCCGGCCCGATCCAATGAGACGACACCATCGTTGATTTTAGAAGCTGAGCCTGGCTCTTCGTCGACCTCCGCCAATCGGCCTGAACACGGCTCTGCAGTCGTAACTCTAATAGTCTTGTCCAAGCTGCTCCTTTCGTGCTCTGCGTGAACGGCAGCCCTGACTGGGCCCCGAGGCCGTCGAAACTCGGCCGGGGATTGGAAACTGGCCCCTGGGAGGGTGTCCAGATCTCTGGGGGTTCACGTTGTCAAAAAACGCACGGTGTCGGGGGTCTGGGTGGGGTCAGGAGGAAACAAATTAGCCTGGCGAAGGACCCAACCATATGCAGCTGCGAGTACCGCACGGATATGAGACGAAGGAGGGGGCACGCAAATTAGGCCCCTCTTCTCATAGGCACCGCGCCACTGGGGCCTTCGGTGGAGCTCCCTATGGGGCCACGAAACGTGTGAAGGGTGTGCCGAAATGGGTGGTGGGGAGGCATGCGGACCCTGCCACTGGGGCCTTCGGTGGAGCTCCCTATGGGGCCACGAAACGTGTGAGGGGTGTGCCGAAATGGGTGGTGGGGAGGCATGCGAACGCAGCCACTGGGGCCTTCGGTGGAGCTCCCTATGGGGCCACGAAACGTGTGAGGGGTGTGCCGAAATGGGTGGTGGGGAGCCACTGGGGCCTTCGGTGGAGCTCCCTATGGGGCCACGAAACGTATGAGGGGTGTGCCGAAATGGGTGGTGGGGACGCATGCGAACGCAACCACTGGGGCCCCTTCGGTGGAGCTCCCTATGGGGCCACGAAACGTGTGAGGGGTGGGCCGAAATGGGCGAGGGGCGGCATGCCAACTCTGCCACTGGGGCCTTCGGTGGAGCTCATTATGGGGCCACGAAACGTGTCAAGGGTGTGTCGACATGGGTGGCGCGGACGCATGCGAACCCTGCCACTGGGGCCGTCGGTGGAACTCCCAATGGGGCCACGAAACGTGTGAGGGGTGTGCAAAAGTGGGTGGGGGCGGCATGCGAACCCTGCCACGGGGGCCTTCGGTAGAGCACCCTATGGGGCCACGAAATGCGTGAGGGGTGTGCCAAAGTGGGGTGGGGGCGGCATGCGAACCCTGCCACTGGGGCCGTCGGTGGAGCTCCCTATGGGGCCACGAAACGTGTGAGGGGTGTGCCAAAGTGAGATGGGGGCGGCATGCGAACCCTGCCACTGGGGCCTTCGGTGGAGCTCCCTATGAGGCCACGAAACGTGTGAGGGGTGTGCCAAAGTGGGGCGGGGGCGGCATGCGAACCCTGCCACTGGGGCCTTCGGTGGAGCTACCTATGGGGCCACGAAACGCGTGAGGGGTGTGCCAAAGTGAGGTGGGGGCGGCATGCGAACCCTGGGGCCACTGGGGCCTGTCGGTGGAGCTCCCTATGGGGCCACGAAACGTGTGAGGGGTGTGCCAAAGTGAGGTGGGGGCGGCATGCGAACCCTGCCACTGGGGCCTTCGGTGGAGCTACCTATGGGGCCACGAAACGTGTGAGGGGTGTGCCAAAGTGGGGTGGGGGCGGCATGCGAACCCTGCCACTGGGGCCTTCGGTGGAGCTACCTATGGGGCCACGAAACGTGTGAGGGGTGTGCCAAAGTGGGGTGGGGGCGGCATGCGAACCCTGCCACTGGGGCCTTCGGTGGAGCTCCCTATGGGGCCACGAAACGTGTGAGGGGTGTGCGGAAATGGGAACTAATGGCGATGGCGATGATGATGATGATGATGATGATGATGATGATGATGATGATGATGATGATGATGATGATGATGATGATGATGATGATGATGATGATGATGATGACGATGATGATGCTGGTGGTGATGACGATGATGATGCTGGTGGTGATGATGACAGGATGGTTGGGAACTAATGGCGATGGCGATGATGATGACGATGATGATGCTGGTGGTGATGATGACGAGGATGATGATGATGATGAAGATGAGGATGAGGATGAGGATGATGATGATGATGATGATGATGATGATGATGATGATGATGATGATGATGATGATGATGATGATGATGATGCTGATGATGATGATGATGACGATGAGTATGATGACGGCGATGGGATGAGGGGGGAGAGGAGGAGGAGGAGAGGAGAGGAGAGGAGAGGAGACGCGGGGCGCTGTCTCTTCAAAACGAGGACCCAACACCACAGGATGGTTGGGAAAATCATTGACACAAGTACTCGTCGATCCCCATGAAAATATGGGGAGCTCTGGGAAGTGGGGGGGACGACGAAAGCTCAGAAGATATGGAAACTTCGGGGAACCCTGGGATTCGTGTGCATTTATTTGTGTGTACCTGGGCCCCTTCAATCAGGGGGGCATAGATTCTGGGAGGGGAATCAGCGACCCCCCATCGTCCGTCGACCGCCGATGGAGGCCCGAAAGCCCGTACTGCCCGGGAGCGTGCGGCCATGGGGGCGCCGATCTATCGGCGATGCATCGCCGATTCCAGCTCGATGTCGGAAACTGGAACATATACATTACCAGGGGCGGGTTGTTTTTTCAATCCCAAGACTTTCGGAGGGTCGGGGATGACGTCGGGGTGGTGTGGTGTATACTTTTCCCCCGTTTTCCAAGGGAAACAACGGACCATGTATACATCAGGATCCCGTATACACCAGAATCCGCGTTCTTGTGCGAATTCTGGCGCAGGGTCGGAAAAAGCGTCGGTGTATATATATATATATATATATATATAGAGAGAGAGTTCGGTTCCCTACGATGCTTCCCCCCTGAGCCGGGCACCCCCTTCCGGGGGCTGCTGAGGGTGGTCCAGGCCCAGGGCGTCCCCAGCCTGTCGATCCACTCTGGAGCCCTCGTAAGAGGTGCTCTGGACCTCCTGGGATATCCTGACAGGTAAGAGGTGCTCTGGACCTCCTGGGTAAGGAGGTCCAGAGCACCTGATGCTGATGATGCTGATGATGATGATGAGAAGGAGGCGGTAAGTGGACCTCCTGGGATATCCTGACAGGTAAGAGGTGCTCAGGGGGCCCCCTTGGCCTCGTAAGAGGTGCTCTGGACCTCCTGGGAAATCCTGACACGCTTGGGCCAGGGCCACATCTGGCAGCACGCGGCCCACGACCCAGACGTCCGACGCTCTGCGTGTTTTAAAGCGGGCCCCCTGGAAGTCCTCCTCCTCCTCCTCCTCCTCCTCCTCCTCCTCCTCCTCCTCCTCCCCCTCCTCCTCCTCCTCCTCCTCCTCCTCCTCCTCCTCCTCCTCCTCCGGGCCGGCTTCTGCTTCTCATCCATGACCAGTTTCTCCACGGCCCCGTGCCTCGGCAACGGGCTCCAGAGGCCGAAGGTTGCTGAAAGCTTGCCGCCACGATTTCTGTCACGACGCGAGGGGGCCTGGCTTTGGAGCCATAGCTCGGGCCTCCGGTGGCCGATCGGGACGATCTGGGCAGCCCAAGGGCGCCCAGCTGCTGAAACGCGTCCCGAGACAGGAGAATCTTCAGGAACCGACGGGTGCGTCCGAAACCGACGAAGCCATACGAAAACCTCCGCCTTCGATTTTTCGAGATGCCATCACGACCGGAGTCCTATACCCTACATGTCTGCGTGATTTCTAGCCAGATCGATCTGTGATGGTGCCCGGACCCGAAACAAGGCGACACCGCCCGTTGCGAAAGAATGCGACGCCAGGAGGCAGTTTTTCCCCGACCCTCCTGTGCTGGATTCTGGTTTTCAATGCAGCACCGTCGTCTCCGTCCCTCTCCTCCTCCCTCCTCCTCGCGGCTCCCCGGGGCGCTGCGCATTGCGCAGGTGCCGCCACTTTCGTGGGCTCCTGGGAGGCCCAGCGGAGGGGGAGGGCACGTAGGCCCCCGCCGAGGCCGCGCCGCTCCCTGGGGAAACTGCGAAGCGCGCAGCCGCCGTCGCAATCGCTGGCTCCCGGGAGGCCCAGGGGCGTGGGCCCGGCCGAGACCCCGCGCGGCTCTCGGGGCTCGGGTGTCGGGGGCGGGAAAGAGGGGGGGTGATGACTAGGGGTGTGTGGGTGTCATGGCAGGGGCCATGATATTTCCCCAGATCTCATGGCGCCCCTTTTTATTTCATGACGTCCCTGGCCCCCCCCTTGGGCCGCGCACGTGCCGCCAGCCATGATTGGCCCCCCCCCCCCCCCTCTTGGACGCCCACCTCTTGGCCGCTCCCGAGGATGGGGTGCTCCTGCGCACTGCGGGCATTTCAGCATGCTCGTTCGTATTCAGCGGTCCTGGGTATACAGTGGGGGCGCGCATCAAGAAGCAGTCTGCTTTTCGTCAGGGTTTCGTGGGCTTCTGCGCTCCGCGCGCTGCGCGGTGACTTCCCGCAGCCGTTGAAGAAGCTGCTGCGTTCAAGGTGCTCTGGGTTTCCTCTCAGGTGCACCTCGCGCGCGGGTTTTCGGGGTTGCTTTTTTTGCTAGGGTTCTCGTGCGTCCGCGCCCGCACTGTAGCCGCCTCATGTTTGGAAAGAGTTCGGGTACGTCGAAGGGCCATGCTTCCCCTCCCCGCGAAAACACTGGCGTGACCCGTAGGGAAGGGGCGGCGTGAAGGGCCGGCCACGTCACGACTTTCATGACTGCGCCGGCGCGACTGGAGGCGTGACCAGGGGGGAAGGTCAAGCAGTGGCGAAGCGTCCTAGCTCGCCTACAGGCCCACCAACTAATATTCTAAGAAACCTTTTGCAGCTTGCACGAAATGTCCTTAGAACATGTCAGGCTGAGACAGTCGTGTTTTAACACGTAGGGCTTATGCTCTAAGAACATTGTTATGTTCTGAGAGTATTTTTTCGGGCCGGACGCAAGGGGGGGATTGGGAAAAAAGGGGGTTACGCAATCTGCTGCATGCAGCTGGTTTCGGCCCCACCGAGGGGCCCATTCCTCGATACATAGCCGCCTCTGGCGCCGGAAGGCGCCGGGAAAATCAGCTAGTTACGCGAGCTGACTCTCACCCCCCCCCCTTTGCTGTCCCCCCCTTTCGCCCGGCCCGATTTTCGGGTTCCGAGAACACGTCGTGGCAGGCCCGTAGGAAGGCCCGGGCGGTCGGTCCCTGCTCCACGGAAGGGGGAGCGGGGGGTGGGCGGGGCACGGGGCCGGTCGCGGGCGTGCTGTCGCGCGGGCGATGCGCGCTCAAGGGGCCGCCAGGACGTCTCGGGTTGCGTCTCGACGTCGGGAGGTCCAGGCGTGCCTCGGCGGCGAGCGAGGGGGGGAAAGCGAGGAGGAGAGGGCCCTCGCGGGAGGCGGCGGGACTCCTCAGAAGCCCTCGCGCCTGCTGAGAGAGGAAGCGAGAAAGAGAGGGCCTTCGCAGAAGGCGGCGGGGCTCGTCA